TTATTTTATGCCAAAAGCTAGTTTAGAATCTTAGCGTCGGCTGCTAGACTTTTTAAAAATTAAAACTTAATTTCTAAAAAACTGGGACCCTAAACTAAAATTATGGCTTCGACATTCCCTAGTTCTCAAAATTATCTTTCTTTCAACACAAAAAACATGAAAATCCGTCGAGTGGTTGATTCAGAATCGTGAAATAAAAAAACACTGTTTCGTTTTAATATTATAGATAGATACTTCCAGAAATAAAACAAACTTATTCCTATTTAAATAACATTAGATTTAACGAGTGCTTAGGTGTGCTGCTACGGGGAAGGTAAAAAGTGTTTCTTGACCATACGTCAGTATACTGAAATTAATGAATTTGCCAAATTTTATCAACATACAGTGTATCCATAAACAAGTAAATTAAAACGGTTTTAATTTTCTCCATAAGAATAACATGGTAATGTTTAACAACACTTTTTTCAATTTTTTTGTGAGATACCGACTGATTCTGTGCCCATTACGGTGTAGCTACAGATGGAATAGAGTTAAATAATAATGAAAATCTTAAACATCAACAAAAGAAAATAAATAATTATAACAGTTGATTAAAAAAAAACTTAAGATTACTATAATTCAATGTAGTGATACTTTACAAAGTATAACTAAAGTATTTTATTTTTATTCAATAATGACAAACAAGACTCAATATTTAGGAATGTTTTACTTTTTACTGTATAAGCTTATGGGAGCGATAGCGAACGTCACGTTGCTGCCAGTGAGTGTCGGTGGCAGGGCATGATGGAGGTTTGAGCAGAAGCAAAAGATATGCGGACGCGCAAATAACAACCTGGTTGCGCTTGCGCGTGTGTGCGTCGGGAGCTCCGCAGGGCACTGGCACTGCACTGCCTAGCGGGGAGCGGCAGTCAACTCGCGAACCTCCTAGCTCCTCCCACCCCTTCCCCTCCAACTGGGTTGAACCGACACGGCGCAGTCTGGCGGACACTTCGAACATCGTTCTGAGATTTCCGAGCTGAGGTAGAGCCCACCCTTAATAGAAAATCCCAAAGCAATAGCATCATTAAAGTCTACCCCCACTCCTCCAGCACATACCCACTACTCACAGTGCTATCTTAAAAGTAGAGATACTTCCCTGCCCCACCCTGTACAATTTAACTGCAGGCAGTTATCTTCTTCAGTTTAAGGTGGTTTAAGGACAGTTATGGGAGAAACACACTATCTATTATCAGGGTTTTTCATGGAACTTCCATAGTATTCTTACTGCATCATAAAGTGTAATGTCGAGTGCCTCTTCATCAATTGTTTTAACTTTTATTCTGACACTTATTTTCACAAAATATCACTCACAAATGCGCAAACAAAAGAGAGGATGTGACTAGAACGCAAGGGACTCGTAGACTGGCGGAGTGGCAGCCAACAGTCAAATGACTCATCTACAGGTTGCAACAGGCTTATCTGGAACCTCAAATTGCACAGTTCAGTACGTGGACCATACTCCCAGAAAAGTTTGAGATAGCGAGGTCCAATAGAAAAGCTTCCAATTATACTTGACTTATAGAGGCCTCTTTTAAAATAAGTTTCACTTAACTATTGTACTTTGAGCTATAGAGCTAAAATAATACAATATTCGACTAATAGAGGTAAAATTTAGTTTCAAAATTAGTTAGAGTTATCTTCAGATTTTTTTTTTTACTTAGATAGGTTTGGGTTTGATAAGGAAATTGAGTTATAGAGGTTCTAGTATCGAGGTCTGGCTGTAATTCTTTTAGTGATGCTCTATCAACCTTTATCTGCGGTGGGTTGACGATGAATATGTCAAGGGTAGTGGAGGGGGCAAGACTCCAATAGAGGGGATGTTAGTGGGAGTTGTAGAAGGGAAAGTGATGGGGGTAGAAAAAGAAAGAGAGATTCAGTTACATGGAACTGAACAACAACTCAACCGATTTTTGAGCAACCCAAATGAAAAAGTAAACTAATCTGACTTTACATTTATTCACAATACTTCAAGTCTGAAAGTTGTAGTATCCATCCTTCAATGAACGCCCGACTTGTAGGGCAACATACTCCATCCATCCTCTAATTTTCTCACCCTCCATATTCTGTCTCTCTTTATCCCCTCAATTGCCAGAGAGAACCATAAATCAGGGAATTATCTTTATCAATGCAAGCATGGTCCGTCTCCATAGCTGCATTTTCGTTATAGGAATGAATTTTTTCAACATTAAAGTGTCAGCATAAAAAGACTAGTGTTTATGTGATCCTTGTCTGAATAATCAAAGGATAGGATACTAACACAGCTGAAATGATGATATACTCACTACCTGTCAGTGACTTTAAATAGTGCAAGTAGACTTCTCATGAAGCCTGTTTTACGTATGTTTTGTGTTTATGAAATTTGAGGGCGCACATCTTTAAATAGTGTTTTCTCATTTAGTAATAACTAAAGAATAGGACACAAATGATAAAATCCAGCCTGTTTTATAATTTGGGTCCTACTCTTTTGTTACCATTGGACAAGCAATATTCCATAATTAGGTAGTTTTATTTGGCAATTCATTTCAAAATTAGTTAACAAGAAACATAATAGTAAATAAAACACACTCCACATAAACTGTACAAAATAAACTTTAAAACTATCTTTAGCTAATCCACAAGGAAGAAAAATATTGAAAGCAGTTGCTAAAATGTTCTGTTTTGTCATGTTCTTGTTTGGTATAATGCTGAAAGTAAATATATTAGTTTAATGAAGTTTCAAAATATTCTTTTTTTAAATAATTAACACAAATCCAATATTAACATTCACTATTTCCTTACATAAATCAGCATTAGTGAAAATGAATATTAGCTACTCATTAAGTTAAGTTTATTACTTTTCCTGTTGACTAATTGCAACAAATTCTGTTTCAGGTAAAATTCTTCCCGGCGTTGCGGCTCTGAGTGATCCGTGAACGGCATTTACACAATACACTGATTATTTTACTGATTGGCCAATTAGATATGTTTTAGATGTAATATCAATTATTGTACGTACAGATTTATATACAGGCTAACCAACACTGCTGTGTATATTAAAATTGTTTCCAATTATATGAATTTTTTTTATAAAATGAAATATACTTGCATTCCAAGATGTGAACATGTTTCTGTCTTGTGTATTTGTTTGACTTTGTGTGTCCCTGTAGTGTTGTTTCCTTCAATTACTGTAATAAGTTAGACATTGTGGGTTTAATACCGACTGCCTTGAGCGCCTGAAATCTTTTTTTCATACAATCTTACCTTTTGGTCCCAGAAGTGTGGATTCAGGTTGGAAATAGTGTTTTGAGCCGTTTTTTTTCTTCAATAAAAATGGCGTCCAAAATCGCCGGTCACTGGTTACTGGGCTGGCCTGCCCAATGAAGTTTATGGGCATGGTTACGAAAATACTCCATTTTTGGTCTCACAAACACTGTTTTTCACACTAAAAATGTTGAATCACTACAACTAATATTTACAACTATATACAGCCCTTATCCCTCCCAACCATTGTTTATTTCAATCACAGTGAATCATGGAACTGCTGATAACAATTTGGTATTTGGGAGTCCATCTTTATTAAAATAAAAGGCAGATAAACTAAAATAATAAACAACAAAACATATTGTTGTGTCTCATAAAAAGCAAAAAAACAAAATGAATACGCCAATAAATGCCCAAAGTCAATAAATTGTGCAATTGGCAAGTAACTGGTCTCGCAATAACTCCGGTTCTTTCCACAAGGTTGCGCCACACTGACTGGTTTATTTCATTGGGACCTGGCCAGGTACAGATGACCGGGCCGGCCTGAGCGTGCGGCTGGTCCTTGGTGACTGGCCCGCACTCAACGTACTGGATACTGGAACCATCGGTACTTATACCATAATATTATTTATCTACAGTATATGTAGACGGAGGTCTAAGCACAGACCTCTGGATGTAAAGTATCAGGCGACCAAGGATTTAAGTAAAGAGTAATTAATTAATTAGCTATTGCCAATATAAAGGTTTTTCATTATATTGGCATTTTTATTTGTGACAAAACGTAGTAAGTATTTTTCATAAACTGATACAAATTATGGTATAAATAAAGTTTATTGGCACGGTTTTGCTTTGACTGTCACAGACCAAGACCGATTTAGGATTGAATGCGTAAAATACAGTTTTTAGTAATGTTTAATTTCTACATATAATGGAATAGATATCAGAGTGTAACAAATAATTGGTACCGTAATGGTCGTGTGTATTTAAAAAAACCTAAAACACACTTAATAGTTAAAGTTTAACTTTTTAAAATCAATAGTTCACCATATTCAGAATATAATTTGTTATTGTTAGTCTATCCTAATAGTAATAAACAGCAGTTAACCCTTCACGGACGGGTGGCGGATATACCCGCTTATGGTTTTTGATGTTCTGGACAGGAAGCGGATATATATCCCCATCTCTTCAGACAGACTGGCAGGTGCTTGAACAGTAACCAGATGTTTCACGGTACCAAGGCGCCATTCCTGCTCTCTCCATGGCTGCCCTCTCTCCCGCACTCCCCCTCTTTCCCGTGCCTACCCCTCTCCCGCGCCACCCCCTCTCCCGCGCACCACCCACCTCTCCTAAGCTGCCCAAAACTTCCCACTTTTGTATACTTTAGTAGTTTATGCAACAATCACATAAAGATAATGTTAATAACACGAGTAAACAATTTAAGATACGAGCCTTGGCCAGTGTCTTAAAAACTTCTACGACTGTTGTTAGGACTATTTACACGAGTTGCGTTCATTACTTTACCTACAACCGTTTTTTAATTACTAACAACCACTACTCATAACTTCTATGAGAGGATATGTTTTCGTTTATAACCTCTCATTGCCACTGACAGTCATGCAACGACTCATTGTACAAACCACTAATTGCACCTCTCATTAAAAAATTAAATTTGTCTTAACAGCTGTGTAGTTTAAGTTCGAAGCATTACAACTTTACTTCTTTCCTCTCAATTCTTAAACCTCATTGGTCCGTCACTCATGTTGTTAAGTAAAACAATGCTGTTAAAAGTGTTAATTGAGAAAACAAAAGTGAATCCTTTCAATTCTAAGAACTGAACCAAAACAGCTAGTCTAAAAAACGGCCATAGGTAAAACAAATAACAATTCACATTTTTTGTATTTTAAAATTTTTTATCTTTCCATACTGAAAGTAGCTAGTTTCGATAACAGCTGATAAATTTTCCTTGCTCTAAATTTACTTCCCCTTGCTCTTAATCAGTCCTCCATGCCCACTATGTGTGCTAGTGTTTACTTTACAATTTATTCTCATTATTGAAATCAGCTGTTTTTATTGCTCAGCAATACAAATAAATGAAAAGAAAAATATTCATTAGCTAGATTTGCTGTGCAATAAACATAAGCATGAACTTAAACTTTTAATTTTCACGTGGTTATGCAGGTTTACTACAACCTTTCAGCTTTTATTTTCATAAAAAATAAAATTAATTAGGAAGTATAATAGTTTTAATTTTACTGAGGTCTGTAATTTTTTGAGTATTTTTGCGTCTTGATGAATAGTATCGTTCATAGCTTGAACCGAAAGTTATTTTCCAGCACTTGCTCTAATTATTACTGTCATTTGCTTTACAGCGCCTCACACATGAAACTTGAGCTTGCTCTGGAAAATGCCACTTTCGGTATTGTACAAATCATGAAATATACTATTCCTCAATCTAGGTTTAACCAAGATGATTTCAGCAATAGTTAGAACTAATAGTCGTGCTTAAGTAACTCAATCTATTGACTTAACTTTCCACAAAATATGTTAAATTATTTTAATTGTATAAAAAAGATGCTCAATCACTGAGGCAAAATTTCCTCACACTCACTCTGATCTATCGGACTTAGCAGATCAAGATAATGGTCCAGCTGCTGAGGTAGCAGTGTCTTTAGCGTTGAGGCCAACAACGTCGTCGAGTTCATCTTTCTGTCTCTCGTCAACACTTGAATGTTCTGCTTGCTCCATAGCTTGTAAAACGAGTCACAACTCCAAACAATGGATATCCTATCATAATCGGTGAACAATATATTGTAAGAAATATCTTTGTTCGTCGCTTCCCCAAACATAGTCACCACATATTCACCTGTTAAATCGTTTGAGGGTCTAATAGGCTTGGCAACACCGTATATCGATACTGGCCCGTTTAGCACTCTTGCCAACATTCGAGCCTCAAGGCGAAACCCGTTCTCTCCCACAGGTTTGTAGACGACGTGTTTGCACATAACTTCCTCTCTTAGGAAAGACTTGAACTGAGCTTGTTGATACCAGACGCCCATGTACCTGTCCCGGTCGAAATCAGATATTGGTACAACTTGAGGACAATGCCTTGCGAGTAGCTTTTGGGAATAGGCAAACATAAATGTTGAGAAGTAACTGCATAAGAGAAAAATAGATCGGCACTCTGAATACATTGTGCTGGCATATCTTAGTGTTGACCAGCTAGCCAAACAGCTATCCACTATCAACTGTGATGTCAAATAATCTTGAACTCCCATCTAAGAGATTATGTTATTTTATGTTGTCTCTCAACAGCAAAATATCGTTGAGGTGAGACGTACATAATCGACATTCATCAACTTGATCCTGAATTAAAAATTTTGGTAATTTTGAAACATTTTATTAAGTTTACTACGAAACCAAAAAATTCATTGCATATCGATGAAATAGAATTTTTTTATATTTTTATTAATTTGACATTAAATAATATCTCCTTTGAAAGTCCTTAAGCATAATACCATCCATAATGTCCAAAAACCTTGTTCTAACTTTTACACTCACCAATTTTCATAAATTTGCAAACAAGCCCAAGAAACAAAATCTGACATTCAAACAATTCGTTGTGCAATAAAATGTGTATTTTTTGAAATTATGTAAGGTTTGAACAATATTTATTTGACGGTCGTATGAAATTTGTATTCGTGTTACCTCTGAAAAGATGAGCAGATTTATGTTAGCAAACTTGATATTGTAAACTAATAGATTTCAGAAATGCAAACATTATTCTTTTCAATTGTACCATTTCTATACCGGGTGACAAAAAAGTCTTGGGACGGTTAATACATTATTTTTAAATACAGTAGTAGTTTACACAACGATCCCGTAAAGTTAGTCTTTAAGACCCAAGAATTACGAGTGTCGTAAAGGCAAACTACACGAGTTGCTTACACTACTTTACCTATGATTGTTTGTTATTACGTTTATTTTCACACATATCATTTTCTTGTATTGTTTCCTTGTTTAAGGTGGTAATAGTAGTTTACGCAACGATTGTGTGAAGATAATGTTAAAGACACGAGTAGGCTCGTGCCTTAAACACTTCTACGAGTGTCGTTAACACTATTTACGCGAGTTGCATACACTACTTTACCTGGTGTTTTTGTTACTAAAAATCACTAATCATAACTTCTAAGAGAGGTCATGTTTTTGTTTTTAACCTCTCATTGCCACTGACAGTGATGCAACGAAACATTATACCAAACACTAATTGCACCAATCAACAATTAAATTGGCCTGAACAGCTGATTAGTTGAATTTCGAATCATTACGATTTTGCTTCTCCTCTCTCAATCCTTGAACCTCATTGGTCCGTTACCTGTGTTGTTATGAGTAAAACTATGCTGTTATGAAAGTAAACAATGCTGTTATGAGATACTTTTCAATTCTAAAAACTGTACTGAAACGGCTACTTTAAAATACGGTCGTAGGTAAAAGATTATTACAAACCGTTTAAGCCCTTACTTCTATATTGTGTATTTCACTATAACTATCAGACATTTTCAAATCAGCTTGTGTCCGGTAAAAATCCACTACAGTACAGTAGTACATAATGAAACCACATTTGATTAAGCAAGCGACAAACAGCTGTTTTCCGGACCAATTTCATGCGTGTAAATTCTCTTAACCCTTTCTACTCTCAATTTTGGGCCCCGCCCCATGCCCTAAGTTTCATTTATTGTGCAGGTCATTAAGCCTATCAGATTTTTAAATTCAAATTACACTAATAAAATATAAAATAAAAAAAGTATTCTCTTTTTTGGAAGCCTACATGTGATACGATCGCGAAACGGACGATGTCGGCTCACGGCCGATAAGAGAGTAGTAGGGGTTAAAACAGTGTAGTGTGGCAAAAAAATATTCATTGCTGAATAAAAAACATCCATCTATTATGACTATAAATAAATTGTTATATTTTATGCAGAAATAATTATCTAGACTGTAAAATGAAATACAGTTATATGTATGGTCAAGAAAACAAGTCAAATTGTTACACATTTTTATTCAACTGAATAATCAAAAACAGCAGTCTAACGGTAAAACGTAAACATCACAAAAATAACTACCTAAAACTTATCTAGGATCTATAGATAGTATAATGTTCGTTAAATGTAAATTTTAAGTTTCTCAACATTTTTTAAAGGACCGGACCATGCTTTGCTTAGTTATTAGCATTATTATGGATCCACAAAAACAGATTACCTCACATGAAAACTCATAGTGAAATTACTACAGTTGAACTTCATTTATCCAAATTAATTGGAACTGCATACCACATTTGGATATACAAAAATTTGGATAACTGGGGTTACCGAAATTCAGGGTAATTTATAGAAAATAGGCAGAGTTAAGCTAAGCTTTTACTATCACAATTGCAAAAACATGTTTGAGAAGATTTCGTGATCGAAAAATTGTGAAGAATGATGTTGATGTCGACAGGTCTGTGAGGATTTTATCGCAATTAGAACTTCTGCCTTCTTTAATAACGATATATTAGGTTTAAAACTCTTTCTGTAAGCAATTCAAATATTCGGGGCTCAAAATATAGGAGTTTACTGTAGTTATGGTACCATACCAGATAAATACCACATTGCAACAACTCTTTCTGAAAAACAATGACTATAAAAATATCAAATTTTTCAATAAGTAATACAATATCTTACAGAAACTTTTCACATAGAGGAAATATTTTATAGTATACTTAAGTTATGATATATAGAAGTAAAAAATGTATAGTTTTAATACATAGATTTCACTCACAAAAGCTGTGTATCTCTCTAGTGAAAATGAAATAATAGTTTGAATGTCCAGTAATAACTACCAATTACTAACAGTTAAGCCTCATTGTGGTAAATGCTCAACTGAAAACATATACATATACATAGTTACATTTATGGACAAGATCACATTTTTGTTTGTATGCTTAGTTCATCTACACTCGGATCGAAAGGTCATTGCTATCGTCTCCATGACCTCTCTTCATCTTCCTCTTCTTCTTCATCTTGTAACAATAAGTCTTCATTTTGGTCAATGCTTAATCGTAACTGAAACATTTATTGAAATTTGTTACTACTACACTACTATGAAACTAGAATGTTTTAAAACTAAATCATTAGTCTAAAAGATCCTTCCTTGTATGATCAAGTCAATAATACTTGTATTTTCAACCTGGTGTAGCAGTAACTCTTATAAGCTGACTCCCACAAAACAAAAATGAACTACATGAAATAAAAAGTTTTAAAATGCCCCTTCCCTGCAGCCATGACACAGGGATATAAAAGAAACAATTTCTATTGTAAACACATTGTAAAAAAATAGAAACAAAACTAGAAAATTACAATGAAATGGCTGCTATGCGATAAAATGACTAAGGCTACCAGCATGTTACTTTTTAGTTGTTTAAATTGGATATCTCTTATACTAATTATTTATATGGACTGGCTATCACCAACAAAGGTAATGCTTGTCACATCAGGCAAATTGTCAATCAGCAAACATTTTTTTATTCTAAGTCATTACTACAACAATATTTCTTTATTTATTCCTGTAATAATGAAAAAGGCTAATTGTATACTTACAGCCTCGTCTTCATCTTCATGCTCCGAAAGTAAATCGGACATGGAGGTGTCATTCAACAAGATAACAGATCTGGAGTTTCTGAAATTAAGAACAAATAAATATACTTTTTATCTCAAGAACAGTAGCAAGAAAGATATATTTAAAAAAATATCATTCGTAAAGCAGATGTATCATTCAAGTAGGCCTACGTTACAAAGACAAAATAAAATATGAAGTGAACTTGGTTTTTGTGTAGCTTACTCTGTGGCATTTAGACTGCATAAGCAAGATTAAATTATCTTAAGCTGGCCTTGTCTGTTTCAGGTTATCACGTGTACCTCAACCCTGTAGGTAAGCAGGGTGACTAGGCTACTTAGATTACTGTTTGTTTAATTTTAAGTAGTTAGTAGCGTGTCAGGTAGCTATTGCCCACAGAGTCCCGTCAGAATTATCGATTCCCCAATAACTCCACTGACTAGAGCGGTGATTAAAAAGTGTGGTGTCTGGTAACCCGCTAGGTTTGTTCCGAGCTCTGATAACCGAGGCTATCAAAGTTGAGGCTATCCTAATCACTATCGACTCCTGGGAAAATCCCCCCAAAATGACTCAAGCGATTCCTGGGACCTCGTTTATTGTTAAGGAGACGTAATTTCCCAAGTTACCATCTACGTTTCGTCATCAGGAAATTTACGTCACAAAGAAGGGTTTACACTTGGATATTGGCTAGTTAGAATGTTTGATTGCTACATACATTTTTTTACTTGAAAAACACCCTAATAGCCTACCTCAAAAATACTTAATAGAATGACATAAAGACAGGGGCTGTTGTATAGTAACTAATCCTTTCAGAAAACTTGGTAAAACTATTTAAAAATGGTATTTGTATTAAGTATCGGTATCGAGAATCAATAAATTTTGGCATCAACACAAATTCATCAAATATTTTTAACACTTCTGCTACATTATATATTATTTTTATTTGAATGTGTTTGGCTATTAATGTGGTTTTTTTATACAAATAAGTTTTATTTTCTAAATTCCTTAAGTTTTGTACCAACCTATACTAATGCAAAATACTGTAAAATTGAAATACTGGATGGATATATATATTTTTTTAAATAATTAAGTAGTCTATCCTAAAAAAAATAAGATATGGTACCGATGGTACCGGAACCAAGAATCGATTTTGGTTAGGTACCGGTACCGACTTTGAAAAAGTGGTACCGACGATCCATCACTACCCAGGACCCAAAGGTTGCCCCAAGACCAATAATACAGAATTCAACAATAAGAACATACAATAACAGTCTTGGCAAGTTTTGTATTTGAATGATTCCAAATAATTGCAGTTGTTCTCGTTGACAGCAAGAGATAATCACGGGTGTTGCCGCGACCGCGGAAAATTATTATTGTTGTACTGCGATAGAGGGAAATTACCGACGATGTTGCTGTGAACATATCAACATCGTCTCACTACATTGCTGCCAATATAGTGTTAATCGTTTTTAAGTCATTTTAGCGAATTTCCCATATAGGGATTAAGCTATTACCGTAGTTCTCATGGTAAGACCTGGACCCAGGACCGATTTACTTTTGTGTTTTGATGTCCCCAGAGGCAAAA